ACACACACACACACACACACACACATACTACAAAGTTATTAATTCAGTTCAGTTTTACTACAAATATGTACAATATATACTACAGAAATATAGTAAGTAAACTATATATATATTAGTATATATTAATAACTATATATATAGTATATATTAGTTTATATTAGTATATATTAGTAAACACTATATATATAAATATATATGTAGTATAAGTATAGTAAGTAAACTATATATACAAAAAATTCAAGGTAAATATTTAATTTTATTTTTCATATTATATAATATTTCATATATTTCATATATATATAATATTTCATATATATATTTTATATTTTATATATATTTAATTTATATTTTTTTATATTTTATTAAATTTTATATATATTTAATTTATATTTTATATATATTTTATTTATATTTCCTTTGACAAAGAGGTTTAGTAATAAAATTGAACTGAATTGAAAATTCCAAAATCGAGTAATCTAAAGTCCAAATTTTTGTCTTTTAATGTTCAATGATACAAGTTTGGGATTAAATATCGTAAAATGTCTCGTGTATCGATATTTACCCCTCCATGCAGTGTGCTGCCGTGAGTACGTGTTTTCGCGTGATTAAACTGCCGGCACAGTAAAATGTGCCCTGTTTACTCATGCTAACAATCCAGGGAAATTCGTAAACGCTCGTCACGTTTCCACCAACGATCCTTGTTTTCCGGCCCACGCCACATACTGCAACACATATGTATATGTTATATGTGGATAGAAATTGGTACACAGGTAGCTGCTTATTTGTTCGTGCCTTTGCAAATACACATCGTGCATATTTGCACTCCATTTTAAGTTTATCTGCGTCCTTTATTTAAAATCTTGGTGATATTTGAGTAACTTTTATAATAATCAACATTGATTCTGTTTTAATCGTTTAGATATGTCGGCAGTAAATAAATATATTTGTCTCATCCATAATAGAATAAATAAACCTGAGTAATATGGTTTAAAAACAGATTTATCATAAATTGCAAGTTATTACTGGAATTTTAATTATCTAGCTACTAGTACCAAAGGTTTACAAATTTTATTCCATTTCATGCTATATCGTTCTTTTCTCTTTTAAAGAGTTCTCAAAGAATTTCTAAAGGAAAAGAAATTTATCGTAAGCTTTCTTCCACGAGATGACAGTTTCGAAAAAGAAAAAGAAAAAGAAAATTAAAAGGAGCAAATCGAGTCATACTGCAATAAACACTTGTAAAAGTCAGTACAGATTATTTTTGTTACAATGTTCTTCAATTACCACAGTCGTTGCAGACGTTCGGCCTCCTCGATGCAATCAATGCAGTTGAATTGAAATCGATGTAAGACACCTCGTCTATCGACAGCAGATCATCGACCTCGGTGCTCGTAACGTTGTAGTGCGTTTGAACGTTTGACACGTGTAGATTCCTCTCCTAAATGTTACACAAAAGTTAAATAATATTCGTGGCATGTGCGCCACGTGTTTGAAATATTATCCTGCAATCGACGTGTAATCAAAATCAAATTCGCCTTCAATCCGTCACAAGTTTTAGAAAAAGAATTTTAGAATTTTAACAGAGTATCGTTATCTCGCGATGTTTCTGTAAAATATGTATTTGCGACTTGGTGCCATGTTCATAAATCTAGGTAGACTATTTTCATGGGATAAGAGAACAGGAAAGAAGATCGTAAAAAATGAGAATAAACTGTGGATAAAGTAACCACGAAGGTGCAATGTATAGAAACATAAGAAAGAACAACATAAATACAAACTTTTTCTGACTTGAATTATGTATCTACATCCATCTTACTGTCATGATCGATCATTAACAAGTTCTTTCTACAGAATGTGCGAAAAGCAGTATTAAAATATTTCCAAAATCTGGGATATCTCTAGGTTCTAAATGCCACGTTATTATTACAAAATGCATCACATGATATGATATCGAAGGATCCCATTAGTTAATGCGATTACATCGTAGATGTTCAATAAGAGGCAGGATGAAGTTAACTTTGAAATAATTTAATTTAATTTATATCTGATGCTTTATTTAACGGGAATCATCAATTTCGTACATATACATATATAAGATTTAAATTTACACTCGAATATCATTAGTTTTCACGATCACGATTTAAGAAATAGAACCTCAGTGTAGGATCTCAATCTTCTCACGATCTAATATGTCTATTCGTTATCTAATACGGTCAAACGTATGATGACACTTATTAAACCACGAACGTTTATGCAAATATTCATACTTTCGTGGAACAATTAAAAAGCTAGGAGCTGTTTCATCCACTGATATATTCATCTACAAGTGGCTGCTTTATTTCAGACATTTTAGCCTTCTGTTTCTCACAATCCGCATGAACAAGTTGCTCCGCTACAATCAATTGCAAGCAATGTGTCATCCAGTTCAACGAGCAAAAATCGAGAAAAAAGGAGAGAAGAGAAAAGAAAGGAAGGAAGTAAAACGAATGAACGTAACTCACCACTCGCGGGAGAGCGTAGCCGTAACAGCTTATCCAGAGGAGGATCACGACGAGTGTTCGTTGCATTGTCGCGTGGCTCGATATATCGTCTGGCAAATGCAGGCTTTTGCGTTCGGACTCGCTTGGACTACTCGACTCCGACGGACACGTCTCGCACACTCAGGCGTGATTTCGATCTCTCGTGTGTGTACTCTGGTGTGCCTCTGTACGATAATCGAGTACGCGCAAGATACAGCACAGTACGTGGGCACACTGTGTGTGCACGTGCCTATGCCGGGCGTGAAAAGTCTAATGTCACCGGTGGACGTTTTGCCGTTTTATAGTAAATTATAACTATCGAAGGAGCCGACCCAGCGTGGGTCGGTGGGGATCGTCAACCTTGAGTGGTGCGTTTGCATTGGCAGATGTTGCATGCGACAGCGTTTAAATCAACCGCGACGTGTCCGTGTACGCGACGTTGTCTCACCTGCGCACAATCGTTCACGAACACGACACACACACACACACACGCAACGATTCGTTCCGAGAGCGAAAGAACAAGAGACAACGAAATTCACGTGTGTGAGTAACGACCAATGTCAATCCGGACCACCACCACTTCTTTCGTTTCTCCTCCTACGTTTCAGACCCTTTCGTATTTACGCGTCCTTCCTTCCTTCCTTTCGAAGATCCAGCCAACTGTGGATCAATGTCACTTTCGTCAGACGAAATTCTTCGCGCCTCCCGCCCTATTGTCTTCCAACCGACTTCCAACATTGTCGCACACGCGTGTGTACAGTTGGCACACGTTAATTGGAAGGGAGGGTTTCACTTATCGCGGACTCGGACCGAAAATATCCGCGCTGCAGGTTTTATTGGTACGTTGGCGAAATTTTCTTTCATTAAAAATTTTTGCGATCGAAACCGCATCAATTTGATAATTAGATTATCTATGTCCTCCTACGTGTAGAAATTTATCTCACCTAGTGCGTATATTTTATTTTTAGTATACGTGTTCACATTTCTAGTCATTTCTTTGCAGATTTATATCGTTGACTTGTGGTAATTTTCGACGAATGAAAAATGATTTCCTTTTCTCGTAGTTCAGTTTTGGAGAGGAAATCTCGACTCGAGTAGCTCTTCAACGAAGAAATGCCGACGACATTGGTTCCTCGACATCAGTGTAGATAATCTATCTTACTTAAAGAGAAGAGAATGATTGAGAATCATTCTCTGTCAGACGTTGATGTTTATTCGCGGTAAATATTCTCTGATTACAAAATACAAGGGCAACATGCGGAGAAGCAAATTTTATTAAATGAATTATGCATCATTTCGTTCGTTTCGACAGAGTGCTGCGAGTCTGTAACTTCGAAGCTAAAAGTCGGCAGCCGCAGAAATTGTTGCGGGGATCCAGTGAAACAGTTTCGTCTGACGCGTAGGCGAGAATTCCAAGAACTTTCGTGAGAATATTACGCGTTGCGGTTCGGAAATCGGGTCAATGTAATATTCGTTTGGCCTTGCCTTCGGATCCGTAAGGCTACGGCAAACATTTGACAAAGTTACTTGCCAAAGCACGTCGCCCTCTCTTTCCTTCCGACATTAGAATTTCGTTACACCGTGACAGAAATGGGTGTTGCAACTCAATTGATACGATCGTTGCCCGTCGTGTTTAGTTAATTACTCGACGCGTTAAACGCTCACCTATGAAACCTCTAAGCATCATCGAGATAAACTGCTCGGGTTAAACGATCATCGTTATCTTATGTAAATTCGTGAAACTGTGTCGGTCGTGTGTTCGTATATTGCTTTCCAACGGGGTTATCGCTCGTGTTTCGTATAATTGCTCTCGGGTAATTATGTTTAAAATAGGTTCTGATTGTTTACGATCGCTTCGAGCCGGCTAGTGTGAATTTAATAGACGCAGGGATTTCATTCACATGTTAAATGATATGTTGCTACGCGTTTAATTTGCGTAATAATCAGGAGCGTCAGACATTGATTATTCTGCTGCGGATATTTATACAGTCCGAAATACACTTATTAAAATTCGAAAATCGCGATCTACTCACTGTATGCATTAAAAAAAAAAAACAACACGTTTTCAAATAAACAAAGTACCTCCCCCCAAAAAATTACTATCGTTTTACTTTTGATTAAAGCAAATTTCGTCCAAAATCATAATTTTCTCGCGACCGTCAGTCGCCACGGGATCATTGTTCCCCTTCGGATTCGGTGTACCGTTACGTTCAATAATTCGAACAAGTTTCGTTCGTAACGAGGTTCCGTCATCTCGACATTGGAATTCAATTATTCAGGGTAAGAAACTGCGTGCTCCCTTGGTGCCTCGTGTCAACAACACGCAGCCAGATGCACGTGTTTCACAGTGAATGGTCGCCCCGTGTGTGCAAGGAGGTACGAGCGTAATTTACTGGACGAATGTGTGCCTCACGGCGCGCAAGAAGTTACGGTGAAACGTGAATGTTGATTGGATAGGGAAGCAAAACAGCTGCACGAAACTGTTCGATAATTTATGCAGGCTTCTTTTAATGACTCGTGCCTTGTTCTTCGATCCGTGAAATTAATCGATCACATTCCGGCCACCGGTGGAAAAGAACGCGCATCGACGAGCGTAATTTCAATTCGAGACGCAGCAAGAATTTTCATATTTACGCTATGGTATTTGTGGTCTATGGAAATCGTGAGATTTTTATTAATCCTCCTCGACGCATTTCTTCATCGAATGGCGCTTTGATGTTCGCAGCGGTTTCTATCGTGTTTCAGTAAGAATTAAACGTTGAATGTGCACTGCGTGAATTTTCGTAGGAAATGGAATTTAAAAGAAAAAAAATATGTCAATTAAGATAAAAACATAGATTTGAAATGAAGATTCGTGTATTAAACATTTAATAATGTATCGGTGTATAATTTCACACATTCTTATTAAATCCTCTATATTCTTCGAGAAATGTAAAATGTAAATACTGTTACTCGGGATAAAATTGAACTTTCAACAAAATAATGATTTTTCCTGAATTTTCAAAATCCAAAAATGGAAATATAGTGTTAACAAAATTAACAAGATACATACATATCTGAGCGATGTGATACATATAGCAACGCTATATAAATATGGGAAAGATTAAATTTCAATGATCAACTACATCATAACTTAACCAGACAAAAGAGATACATTACCGAAAGTACGGCAATTTGTTACAACCTTATCTTGTACGCCACGTAATTAAATTAATCATAAGTATGTCTCGCAGCTAACCGATTAGTTACAAAAAAAAAAGAAAAATAAGTAAGAATATTGTCAGTACCAATTGTATGTACTAAAATCATGCCCGTGAAAAAGAAAAAAAGTTCGAAATCATGGTGACAATCTGACCCTGGCGATAAGTGTAAATAAGGCAAGGCTATTGATAATGTTAGTCATCGGAGCAGACAATAAACCGATGTCACACCCGCATGAGGGTGCTGTGACCCATATACCTTGACCCACTGTCACTGGCTACAGGTGAGATACAATTCTACGTTCTACATCATCTTATCGTATTTTTTCTCGGCATGTTAACTAGACTTGATAAGGCATAAATATACGCAGAGATCCGGTGTCAGTGAGTCGCGTGTGAATGGGCTACGAAGAAACTCTGCTCTGGAAACTTTTGCTCGGGTAATTTTTCTGATCATTCTGTAGAAAGTCTTACGTATAGAAAATAAAAACTACAACGTAAAAAAAGAAAAAGAAAATGATATTAAAATAACTGGAGGATAAGAATTGAAATTGATTGGTGTGAAATAACCCACTGTCGACACGTTTCATACGTTTCGTATGCCTACTTTCTTCGCGCATTCGATGCTAATTGTTTATATACATACGTATGTAGAACGAGCAAGTTCGCTTGCAATTTGAAGATTTTTGTTTACGAGCCTCTGTATTACTGTACGTTGTTTGATCTGTAATTAGGAAATTGAATTGGGGAACAGGGTAGAGTTGGTAGAAGTTTAACAGCATAATTCCATAAGAATGTTTCCGAGCCGGAGTAAGAAAGATTCGAATAATATAATACTAATATGAAATTCAAAAATCTTTCTTTTATCATTAAATTACAGAATAGCAATCTCTGCTTCATTGATCACAACTGTGAGTAATAAGGAAAAGTATGGGAAAAGTATTGAATAAATGAATAAATTATACTTTTCTTCTATAAAGCATTAAATTTTCGAAAATTGTAGAGATACAAAATTTTCCAATTCAAAACTTTTTCTTTCCACATATATTTCTTTTTTTTTTTTTTAATATTGTAATTACTGGATATTGTAATTAAATCAAGATTGTATCATCGATCACACTCAATTTTCCTTCCCAATTTGCAACGATTTTTTGCAAAACCAAAGTTACTTGAACAATCATAAGGGCTATGCCATCGTATGATACTGGCCGAAGGAATCATCATCCTCAGCGAACCGGTAAAATTGTTGCTGCATGATTTCGTGCGTAGCTGCTCATGACTGTAAATTAACATACAGGTCAGCCTAAATTTTCACCTCAACTACCAGCCCGGTCCACTATTCCGTATAAATAACGAACTGGCGGGCACGGTGGAAGTGTTGTGTGAAAGTATACGTCGACTTGGTAGGAAGTGTAGACGCTGAGCCCGATTCAATCGGTTGCTCCGTTTTATTCAACGGCCGAGCGCTACGGAATTCACAGTATTCGTTTCGTGCGCGGCAAGAAAAGTGCGATCGGCGCGAACATGTTCATCCGCGTGGCCCTCGTACTCGCTGCGGCGTGTGCCGTTCATTGCCAGGAAGTAAGTAGCCGTTTAATCGTGGAACCAGCCGTTCGCAAAGTCATTCGAAACTTTACCAATTGGCACGCGAACAGTTCGATCGGTATCATCGGCAAGACCGTACGAGTTACAGACTGTAGAATCGAGATTTTTTAGATTACTATTGTGTCGAATATTTTACCTCGACGATTCCATATATTTTTTCTTTTTTCTTTTCTTTTCTTTCTTTCTTTACACATCGCTTTGCAATTTGTCTCTTAGACGTCGGTGTTTTTATTCGTTTGTTGGAAAACTCGAAGAAGTGATATTTTAAAAGTTATTACATCTTATTCGACGCAAAATTATAGAGTTCTGGAGAAGCAACGATCTGGAGTTTTGGAATTTCTAAATTTTCCAATATTTATTCACAAATTTGATAAAATCTTGGATAATTTTCTACGCAAGAAAATCTGAAATAGTATAATAAGTGAAACCGCGAATTCAAAGTTAATTAGAATTC